AGATTTATCTATTGCTAAAAAATGTAAAATCTGTTCTAATACTTCTGCTATATTAAAAATACCTGATTATGTTATAATATTTTATTTTAAATATTATATCTTCAAATGAAAAAATAAATTATGCGATCACTGCTTCAGACTAACTAGCTTACTCTGATTAACTAGTAAGTTATTAATAGTTCTCAACATTGAGACAGAATTCAGATTATTAGCATTATTACGATTCTTTATCTTTCGCTTTAACTCAACCAATTCATAAATATCGTATTGACTAAGATATTTATTTATTATACTAATATAATAAGGTGACACATCCATGATATTTTTAATATAGACATTTAAAATAAGCTGACATATAGCTTCTTTACTAATATTATAACAACCTTTAGATTGAGATATTTTAAATTAAGATATAAACTAGCAATTGTATTTATAGTTATATCAGTAATCGCTATGTGTTAGGAAATATTGAGATATTCTAATTTATGGCATCTCAGTATGACTATCAATAGACTATCATCAGTTATTTCAGTATCACAGCTAGGGTTGCCAGAGAGAAGAATATAATTCTCATATATTAACCTTCTTATTCTTCTAGAGTGAATATTTTGAGATGTTTGATTCTGATTATGGCTTACTTTCTTATCCTTCTGCAAATTGAGATACTTAAAATTAAGGTATGATTTCGCTATTTGTTTTAGTATCTTATTGCTAAATCCTCTGCTATAGTTAAAATCTAAATAAACTAAATTTAGGAGTAAGTCTACAATTCTTTTGAATTTTTTATCTAAAAGTCAATAGTAATTTAAAATTTCTAGATGAGTTATATTTAAACAATAAACTGGCTTTTATTTTTTACGCAATATTTTTATAAAAATCTTTCATGTGCTACCCGTCTTTAACTCAACGCATTTCCATAAAATAGGAGTACTATATCTATATCATAATTAAGATACAAATAGAACAGGATAGAGTAACTTATCTACTGCTAAAAAATGTAAATATGTCTTAATAGTTCTGGTAAATAAAAGAAACTTATTTGCGTCATAAATAATATATGAGAGTTTTTTTAAGAAAATCAGGTTTTGAGAAATTTTTGACTAAAATTAAGAGCTTAATACATTTTAATCTAATAATATCAAAAATTAAAAT